TTGACGATCCGACTGTCTCTCTCGTGGGAACAATAAACTTCTGTGGAAAGTTTTGTGTTTAACTCTGAATGAGTTTTTAAGAACTAAAGTTTTGTGTTTAACTCTGAATGAGTTTTTAAGAACTCTGAACGAGTTTGAACTCTGTGAGTAGAGTTGTTGGAACCGAAAATTCGGTTAATGATCAAGCTGTCATTCTATTGCTGACGAATCCCCTCAGATTTGATCTCCTGAGATTGATTCAAAAATCCTATCTTTAAAGATTTTGCTGCTGCCAAATCTCCAAACCCGAGTGGTTTTGATCCTTAGAATCCAACTTGTGTGGTTCAAAAAATCCAACCCCTTGCTCTGTTGGGTTCGTTGAGCTTTTATAGGGGGATAGGAGGTTGTAACTGACCCCTATATCCGCTCCTACGTGGGCGAAAATCCCTCAGAACGTGGGATAAACGGTTCTGAAACCGTTCGACTCATGTTTGAACAAGTCAAACGCCCAATCTGGCGTTCAGAACCCAACTTCGCTTTTTAGGATTGAGACGCGAGGTTGGGTGTTAGGTGAACACCATTGAACGCGATGGTCACTCGCGTTTAGCTTGTTGCCTGCTTGGAAATGCGGGGGTCAGTGCTGGTTGAACCCCTACGAACGCGAGGGTCGCTCGTGTTTAGACTGTGGCTTGGCGACGCGGGGGTCGCCTTCATTTCCAAAGTGGTGACGCGGGGATGACATCCGCGTCTCAGAATGAGCTATTTGACTTGTAGCTTCTTCTGTGTTGCATTGCAAGGACCGTTGTTCAGTAATCCTGGCTTTAGCTGTTGTGAAGTGTGAAAGTCGTTAGATTGTAACTTTCACTGTAGAGTGTGAAGACTTCTGAATAGAGTTTTCATCCGTTGTCGGAAGCGTCGTTGAATTGTAACTCCTCTCGATCTATGTGAAAAGCCCTCCATTCGCAGCTTTCGTTCACCGACCCGAAAGCTATTTGATGGTAGCTTCCGTTGTAGGAGCTAGACGGGAATCAACATCCATAGTGTCTTAAAGACGAATATTTGCCCACAGCTCTCTACCAAGCAACTATTTGATTGTATGTTTCGATTATCGACGCGAAAGCTATTTGATTATAGCTTTCGTTGTGATAGCTTGACGGGAATCAACATCCATAGTGTCTTGAAGACGAATATTTGCCCACAGCTCTCTACCAAACAACTCACCAACTAAGTCCAGCCTTTTATTTCTGAAATCATCCCACTACTCATCAGCATCTCTAATAGTTGTTAATATAATATTAGTGCTGTTGTCGCAGCCATCAAGATCAATCATCTCAGAAGTGAGGTCGTGTTTGTGGCGATTGTGGGGTTGCGGATGCAGTGATTGGGAAGTCGTCTGATTATGACCTCCATTGTCGGAGCTTGTTTGGATAAGCTATCTATTGTGATTTTTAGACAGCCTACAATTTCTATGACACAACAATAGTTAACATCAAACATTCTTCCATTTTATGTAAAATCTAAAACTTTGTAACTGTACCTTTACGTTGAATATGTAGCTTTTTGTTGTATAACTATTTTGAGGAATCGAAATGTAGTTCGACACTACCAAAAAATAGAGACCACAGGTTGAGATCCTCTACATTCTTGATTGTAAAAAATCTCTACAATTTATTTATCAAATCTCCTCACTTAGTAGAGCATATGAATGATATTAATTATCTAAATATTAAAAACTACTTTTAATTATTGAACCCGCAAAGATAAGCCAATATTATTGGCCCACTTAACTAAGTACAAGCATTCTCTATCATCAAACTTGTAGAGAATCTGGACTCAAGAGACCATTACTTATTTATCCTAATTTATTGATTAATGAAAGAACGTGATTTTTTTAGAGTGTAATAAGAATTAACGCAATTAATGAGGACATGATAAATGTTGGAATGAGTTATAATTATCTAATACTATCCATTAAAATAATCAATGACTTGTTTTAAAAGCGGTTATCTCTTCTCTTTTGTAATGGAGAGGATCCAAATTCTCTTTTGTAATGGAGAGGATCTAAATTACTGTAGGGGGTTCCATTCTTTTTTCTTTTAAAAAAATTCGCTTTTATAACTCGAGAAAAACTTGTAGGTCTACCGTTTATTTATTTATTTTCTTCTTCTTCTTCTTCTGTGCTTTTGTAGACAAGGGGCGCCATTAACCAGTTAAAGCCCACAAAACGGGTTTGAAAAGGCCCCATTATACCCAATACAGAGTTGAGAGGGTTGTTGTAAAGCCCATAACACAGACTTTTATTCCTTTATTAAAGAGAATTTCAAATAGGAAAGAGAAATACTTGTGTACTAAATAAAGCTTAGTGCACAAAGAAGGTTAGCTTTCAAGCCCCCGTATAATCAAATATAAAAATGCTAAAATCAAACCGGAGCTCAAAGAGGAAATTGCGCAACCACTAGAAGCCTTGAATATCTCAAAATTAGGCCTAAACCCCCACCGCTCCTCTTTGTATCCCATCTCAGACGAGGCTAAGGACCAACGTACACAAATTCGTGACCCTTTTTTTCTTCAATTCTCAAGCCAATTTTACTTTGTGATGATGAGTTTTTGCACTATGATTGGTTGGTCTCATTAATAGATCCAAAATTATTGGATTGAGCGATGTTGGATCAAGATCAATCAACGAATGCACGCCTTTGTTAATATTGGCCCTGAATACCACGGAGCTTATTTCCTTTAATGCTCAATCGAATTTGTTAGGTGATGTTTAATTTGTTTCCACTATTATTGGTTGAACTCATTAATTGATTCACAATTATTGGATAGACCAAATTTTAGATCAATTAATATATACTTGCATCTTATAGTTAATTTTGGTCTTTGAAATACCCCTCCTCTTATATGGCTACATGGTATGTGGTCGTATTTTGCTCAAAGAACATAATTTTATTGATTTAAAGGTAAGATTTCTAGTGGAATGGAATTTTCAATGAAAGCCACCATTTCTATACGCTAAAGACCTCACCAAATCCAATAAGATGAGTTTTAGAGAAATAATTTACTGTAAAAGGCAAGAAAAAAAGAAGTTGCCTTACCACTTGCCACCAAAAAGAGCAGGCCAAAGAAATTTGACGCAAGAAACACCTAAGTGCTTGTTGATACGGAGAGATTTACATTTTAGTATTGTTTTTAATTTGCTTTAAGTTATAATAATCCATTGTTTACATTTAATAAGATTATGAGGTACCACCCTGTCCACATCTCAAAGGCTTACCACCTTTTAGGTACCTTAACTACTTTTTCTTCCATACTTAACCATGCTATGTGCTATAAATACGTGTAAATGTAGGTATGTGTATCTTATGTTGTGCTATGGATCATAAGCTCAGTAGAAGAAAGATTCAAGCAAAATTAGTACCATGTGATGTATCTTAATCTGCTGTTAATTTCATGGTTCCCTCAGTCGTTTTGAGGTCGATGCACATATAATTAATTGAATTTTTTTTTTTTTGAGGAAAACATATAATTGGAATTTGAAACTACAAACATGAAACATTAATAAATTTCTTACAAGAGCGTATAGCTTTTATTCACCAATTTAAATTGTTTCCCACGCCTGCAAAGTATCTCCACTAGCTAGTCCATTGTAAAGAAAGCCTGATTATAAGGTACATGGCTCGAGCTCCACTTTATGGAACTTTTAGTCCGTCCAAAAAACTTGGCTCTCTTTAATTTATTATCAAAATGGGCATTGAAAATATCTAGGTTAATTTGTGTTCCGATCTCATCTTGTATCCATCTGGTAGGCAATTTGTATTACGAGAAATCAGGTCAAAACCCATGAATGAGCGACTCTTAAATAAATGCTAGAAACAAAACTTAAAGCTAGCGGTTAATAACCATCAATTTGACACATGTCTTCAAGCACAAATTTTAAAGCTAGTGGTTAATAACCATCAATTTACAAGATTTTATTTGCAAACATATTGCTAAGTAGTATCTCGCATCCGTTTGGTTAAAGTGTGAGTTGGTTAGAAAAAACATTTGACATAAGATTTAGTCCCACATTTAAAAAGAGTAAGATGGATGAATGGTTAATTATGTGTGGTCTCGTAACTCAAACAATATTAGTTCTTTTGCATCAATTAAGCCAAAATAGATTCGCGTACTCCATCTCCTTAGTGAGCCTTTTCTATTTTTACTGAATACAGATATCATCTTTACTCCATCTCTTTAGTGGACCTTTTCTACTTTTATAGATATCATCTCATAGATTTCCTAACTAAGATATATGCTCTCAAGTCTCCACCCCCATTCCTATTTTCTACTCACGAGAATATCATAATCGTCAACTGAATAATCGACTCTGGAAAATAAGTGATTTCTCTTTTATTTTTTTAATAGCGGAGAGGGTCAAAATCCCCAATGAAGAGAGGTCTCACAATCTCTCTATATATGCATCCCTATAATTTTTTATTTTTATTTTTTACAGAGGGCCTTCTACAGGATATATTACCTTTTACACAATTCTTGCCTAGGGGTCCTCTATATCCTTTGTTATAGAGGAACTCTACAATCCATCGATGACATCTCTTCACCCAGTGAACCCCATAAATTATATTATTTATTTAAACTATATTAAAAAAAAATTCATTGTGAAGCCTGTTAAAACAAATCAATAATATTAACCCACATAAGTAATTTTAACCATTCTCCATAACTAGGGTTGTAGAGAACCTGGACTCACCGTTGTTTTTGTTGAGAGGATGGTGACAAAATATCGGCCAATCCCTTTTCTGCTGTTCATCCACTTTCCCTTGTCTTCGCTAGTGCCGAATTACAAAATAACCTCAACTTTGAGTTTCCTCTGGCACAAGCAACCAATTTACGAAAGAGGGCATTAAGCAACCCAATAACCAAATAATTCTTCAACCTTTCACGTGCCAAATCGAGGACTTTTCAGTAAAGTTAACCCCAACAAACGCCAAACGGTGAGCCTCCGCTTCA